GCATGCCAGTGGGGGGTCCCAGCCCTCAATTTGAGGGTCCTGCCTTCCTCCTCTTCTTCCTCACTTCCGGGTGTTTGGTCTCCAAAGCTAGTTTGGAGGACGCCTGCGGTTAAGTTGGCTACAAGCCCAGCCGAGCAGCCGGTTTCAACAGATTTCTGGGGGGAGTTGCCTGTGAACCGGGCTGAGCAGCTGCATCCGTGCTCCTTATCGCTCAGCCTAGGCAGGCAAACATCTTCTTTCCCAACGTGTGGCCTCTGCTTCTCACAGGAGATTTTTATGGCTCTACAGATCACAGAAATTTCCATCTCCAATACAGACACCCACAGCGAGAGAGAGAGAAATACAGACAGAAAGACACCCACAGCGAGAGACAGAGACAAACACACCGAGACAAAAACATCCATACCAAGACAAACACCCACAGCGAGAGACTGAGAGACAGAGACACTTTCACCGAGAGACAGATACCCTCACCGAGAGACAGAGACACCCACACTGAGAGACACAGATACCCCCACCAAGAGACTCCCGCATGGAGAGACAGAGATACCCACTCCGAGAGATAGAGAGTCACCCCACACAGAGACAGTGAGAAAAACAGACACCCACGCCGAGAGACAGAGCGACACCCACACCGAGAGACACAGACACCCTCACCTGAGAGATGGTCCCCCGCACCGGGACACCCACACTGAGAGAGAAACACCCACACAGAGAGACCGAGAGACAGAAACACCCACACCGAGAGACAAACACCCACACCGAGAGACAGAGACGCAGACAGCCACATCGAGAGACAGACACACACACACACCCAGAGACAGAGAGACATCCACTCCGAGACCCCCACACCAAGAGACACAGACACCCACACCGAGAGACAGACCCCCACACCAAGAGGCAAGGAGAAAAAGAGACACCCAAAATGAAAGAGAGCAACACCCACACTGAGAGACAGAAACACCCACAACGAGAGACCGAGAGACAGAGAGACACCCAGACCAAGAAACCGAGAGATACCCACGCCAAGAGACACCCATGCCCAGAGACAGAGAGACACCCACACGGAAAGAAAGAGAGACAGAGCGACACCTACACCGAGAGACAGAGACACAGAGTGACACCCACATGGAAAGGCAGAGAGACAGAGAAACACCCACACTGAGAGACAGAGAGACTGAGAGACAGAGGGACAGACACTCACGTGGAGAGACAGAGAGACCCCCACAGCAAGAGACAGAGACACCCACACCTAGTGACAGGGAGAAAAAGAGACACCCACACTGAGACACAGAGACACCCACACCAAAAGACAGAGAAAGACAGCCACACCGAGAGAAACTGACACTGAGAAAGAGACACCCACACCAAGAGACAGTGACACCAAAACAGAGAAAAACAGCCACACTGAGACACACGCACACTGGGAGACAGACACACACACAGCAAGACACCCACACAGAGAAATAGAGAGAGACCCCCACACCGAGACAGACCCCCACACCGAGACACCCACACCGAGAGATTAAAAGAGACATCCACACCGAGAGACATAGACACCCATGCCGAGACACAGAGACACGCACACTGATAAACACCAACACCAAGAGACACCCACACCGGGAGACAGAGAAACCCACACTGAGAGACAGAGAGAGAGAAACACCCACACGGAGAGACATAGACACCCACAGGGAGAAACTGAGAGACACCCAGACTGAGAAACACCCACACCAAGAGAGAGAGCCAGTCCGAGACACCCACACCGAGAGACACCAACACTGAGAGACAGACACACCCAAAACAAGAGGCAGAGACACCCACACCGAGAGAGAAAGAGAGACACCCACACCAAGAGACAGACAGCCACACCGAGAGACAGGGACACCCACACCAGCACCCACACCGAGAGAGAAAGAGATACACCCACACCAAGAGACACCCACACCGAGAGACAGACAGACACCACCACTGAGAGGCAGCCCCAGCAAGAGAGAGAGAGGCACCGAGAGACATCCCCACCGAGAATCAGACACCCACACCAAGAGACCATCCCACCAAAAGACATACTGAGAGACAGACACCCCCACACTGAGAGACACCCACACCGAGAGTCAGAGAAAAAGACACCCCCACACTGAGATACTCACACCGAGAGACAGAGACACCCCCACCGAGAGACACATACACTGAGAGACAGAAAAAGAGAGATGGAAAGAGACACCCACACTGAGAGACAGCGAGACTCCCCAACTGACAGACCCCCCCACCGTGAGACACCCACACCTAAAGACAGAGAGAGACATTGCCACCGAGACACAGACACACCCACACTGAGAGACACCCACGTCGAGAGACAGAGAGACAGAGAGACAGAGACACCCCCACTGAGAGACACCCCCACCAAGAGATAGAGACACCCACACTGAGAGAGACACCCACACCAAGAGACAGAGACACCCGCACCGAGAGACAGACACCCGAACAGAGAGACAAAGACACCCACACTGAGAGACAGAGACACCCACACTGAGAGATGCCCACGCCAGGTGTCCTGATCCAGTGTCGGAGGAGGTTTCAATACGATCGCAAGAGCGAGATTAAGACAGAAACGGGGGTCAAATACCATACAGCCTTGTTAGCTTTATTCTCATAAGCACAAATAGGACAGAGAGAAGAAGAAGAGAAAAGGAAAGAAAGATAAGCAAGAAGCGGGAGAGATGCAACAAGATTATAGTTACCACTACCAGTAGTCCAGATAAGTGTCGCTCGCTCTGCTTCGGTGCAGGTACAGGCGTCTCGGTGCAGGTGATGTTCCGTGACAGAAGGCCGTGCACGCCTCTCTGAGCTCCTTTTATGTCCCCCTTCTCAAAGAGTCCTCCCATTTTCTCGAAGTTTTCTGGTACATCTTGTTTGTGTCGTATGTGCTGTGTGCTTCTGTATTCCTCTTCATCCCGATTTGCATGCAAACTGCTCTGGTGGGCACTGCTGAGGATGTGATTGTGAGGATGTCATTGTTCAGGTCTCAAGCTGATCTTCCAACACCAAGTAGACAGCTGATATTACAGTCTTCCCAGAGATAATATGCCAGGGTTACAAGGCGCAAATGGTAAGAGATCTTCCAAAAGATAAGATGCCAAGGCATTGCCCAGGTAAATGGTGTGTCAACCAAATGGTGATGAGACAAACACAACACATAACAGTCTCTTACACTGAGAGACAAAGAAACCCGCACTGAGACACACACGCACAATGAGAGACATCTACACCAAGAGACAGTGACACCCACACCTAGAGACAGACACCCACGCTGAGAGAAAACCACACCAAATCAGAGAGAAACACCCACACCGAGAGACAGAGAGAGACACCCACACCGGGATACAGAGAAACCCACACCGAGAGACAGACACACCCACACCGAGAGATAGAGACACCCACACCGAGAGACTAAGAGACAGCCACATCGAGAAACACCCACACCAAGAGAGACAGCCACACCGAGACACCCACACCGAGAGACACCAACAACGACAGACACACCAAAAACAAGAGGCAGACACCCACACCGAGACACCCACACTAAGAGACAGAGACAGTCAGCCACACTGAGAGACAGAGACAACCCACATCCGGAGACACCCAAATCGAGAGACAGAGACACCCACACCGAGACACCCTCACCGAGAGACAGAGAAACCCATACCGAGAGACCTCCACACCGAAAAACACCCACATTCAGGAACACCCACACCGAGACACCCACACCGAGACACCCTGACATGGAGAGACAGAGACACTCATACCAAGAGACAGCCACAACAAAATAGCGAAACGCCCACTGAGAGACAGAAAGAGACGCCCAAACTGAGAGACAGAAAGACCCACACCGACACACCCCCACACCGAGAGACAGAGACACCCACACAGAGACACAGGCACCCACACCGAGAGACAGAAAGACACCCACGCCGAGAGACAGACACCCACGCCAAGAGACAGCGACACCTAAACCGACACACCCATACCCAGAGATAAACACCCACACCGAGAAACATCCCCACCAAGAGACAGAGACAACCACACCAAGAGACACCCACATCAAGACACAAACACACCCACACGGAGAGACAGAGACACCCACACCGAGAGACAGAGACACCCACACCAAGAGACAGAGAGAGAGAGAGGGAGAAATGCACACCAAAAGACACCCACACCGAGAGACAGAGAAACCCACTCCAAAAGAGACCCACAGTGAGAGACAGAGAGAGAGACACCGGCAGCCCCACCGACAGGCAGCCCCACTGAGAGACAGAGAGAAAGGCACGGAGACACACTCCCACAGAGAAACAGAGAAACACACACACCGAGACATTCACAGCGAGAGACAGAAAGAGAAACCCACTCCGAGACAGAGACACCCACACTGAGACCCCTACACCGACAGTCACCCACACCGAGACACCCACACCGACAGACATCCACTCCGAGAGACCGAGACACCAAAACAGAGAAACAGCCAGAGAGAGAGACAGCCACACCAAGAAACTCAGAGATAGACACACCCACACCAAGAGAGACACACCCACACCGAAAGACAACCACACCGAGAGACAGAAACACCCATACCAAAAGACAGAAAGAGACACCCACACCGACACAGCCACACTGAGAGACATCCCCACTGAGAGACAGTCACACAGAGATTCACCCACACCGAGAGAGAGAGAGAGAAAGAGACGCTGACACTGATAGACAGACACACCCACACTGAGACACCCACACTGAGAGAAAGAGACACCCACACCAAGAGACACTGACACCAAAACAGAGAAAAACAGCCACACTGAGAGACACGCACACCGGGAGACAGAATAACCCACATTGAGAGACGGAGAGAGAGACGACCACACTGAAACACTCCCACACGGAGAGTCAGACACCCATACCAAGAGACAGCCGCACCCACACTGAGAGACAGGCACACCGAGAGACAGGGATACCGACACCGAGAGACACCCACACCGAGAGACAGAGACACCGACACCGAGACACCTACACCAAGAGACAGTCACCGACACCAAGACACCCACACTGACAGAGACACCCACACTGAGAGACAGGAAGAGACACCCACACTGATAAACACCCACAGTGAGAAACACCCACATGGAGAGAAACACCCACACCAAGACACTCCCACACTGAGAGACAAAGACACCCATACCAAGAGACAGCCACATACACACCGAGAGACACACTGAGACAGACACCCACACCGAGACACAGTCCCCCGCACCGGGACACCCACACCGACAGACACCCCCACGCCAAGAGACCGAGACACCTGCACCGAGAGACAGGAAGAGACACCTACACCGAGAGACAGAGACACCCACACCGAGAGACAGACACCCACACCAAAAGACAGAGAGACAGAGAGACACCAAAACCGAGAGACAGAGACACCACTACAACCGAGAAAAAGGGAGAAAAAGACATCCACACTCAGAGACAGAGCAACACCAACACCGACAGAGAGACCCCCTCACATCGAGAGACAGGGAGAAAAAGAGACACCCACACTGAGAGACAGACACCCTCGCACCGATATACCGAGACAGACATCCCCACACCGCGAGACAGAGACACCCAGAACGAGAGTCAGAGACACCCACAACGAAAGACAGAGAAACAGTCACAGTGAGAGACAGCCACATGGAAAGAGAGAGGGCCACCCACACCGAGAGACAACCACACCAAGAGACAGCCACACCAAAAGACAGAGACACCCACACCGAGGCACCCACACCAAGAGTCTGAGACCCACACTGAGAGGCAGAAAAACACCCACGCAGAGAGACAAAGACACCCACACAAAGAGACAGAGAGACACCCAAACCGAGAGACAGCCACACCATGAGACGGACAGCCAGCCACATCGAGAGACAACCACACATAGAGACCAAGTCATCCACACCAAGAGAGAAAGACAGGGACACTGAGAGACAGCCACACTGAGAGACACCCCCACCAAGAGATAGAGACAGCCACACTGAGACACCCCCACACCGAGACACACCCACACCAACAGACAGAGAGAAAGAGAGACAGCCACACCGAGAGACAGAAACAGCCACACCGAGAGAACCCCATACAGAGAGACAAAAAGAGAGACACACACCGAGAGACACCCACAATGATACCCACACTGAGACCCCCACACCGAGGGACAGAGACACCCCCAATGAGAGACACCCCCAACAAGATATAGAGAAACCCACACTGAGAGACACCCACAACGAGAGACAGATACCTAAACTGAGACACCCCCACTGACAGACACCCACACCGAGAGAAACCCACACCGAGAGAGACAGAAAGTCAGACACAGCCACACCGAGAGACAAAAAGAGACAGAAAGAGACAGAAAGACACCCCCACACCGAGAGACAGAGACACCCACACCGTGAGACAGAGACACCCAGATTGAAAGACAGAGAAACAGAGACACCCACAGCGAGAGACAGCCACATGGAAAGACAGAGAGCCACCCACACCGAGACAGACACCCACACTGACAGTCACCCACCCCAAAACACCCACACTGAGACAGAGATACCCACACTGAGACCCCTACACCGACAGTCACCCACACTGAGACACCCACACCGACAGACATCCACTCCGAGAGACAGAAACACCCATACCAAAAGACAGAGACACCCACACCGACAGACAGCCACGCCGAGAGAAAGGGACACCCACGCCAAGAGAAAAAAAGACACCCACGCCGAGACACCCACAGTGAGACACTGACACCAAGAGAGAGAGACACCCACACTGAGACACCCACACCGAGACACAAACACCGACAAACCCCGACACCGAGAAACAGAAAGAGAGAGACAACCAAATCGACAGAGAGGAGGACACCCCCACACTGAGAGGCAGAGAAGAGGAAACACCCACACCGAGACACCCTCACACCGAGACAGGGACTCCCACGCTGACAGACACCCACAGGGAGAGACACCGACACTAAGAGAAAGGTAGAGAGGCACCCACACCAAGACACATCCACACTGAGACATGCCGCCACCGAGAGAGGCCCACACCGAGAGACAGAGAGACGGTCAAACCGAGAGACAGAGAGACGGTCAAACCGAGAGACGGCCACACCGAGACACAGAGACAAGCACACCGAGAGACAGCCACAGCAAGAGAAAGACAGACACACCGAGAGACAGAGAGAGAGAAAGAGCCACACCAAGAGATCTCGAAGGGAAGGGCTCTGGAGTGGACGCTCATGCTGTGCAGTTGTCCTGCGCTGGTTCCAACATCTGGCGCCCAAACAGGGACCCAAGAGCAGGGACTTTGGGACCTGACGACAGGGGACCGACGGCAGGGACGTCGGGACCCGACGGCAGGAAGGTTGCTGAGACGGGGGAAAGATCCTGGGTCACTACAGCCTGACGGAGGGTCGAGGAGGGGGGGAGGGGAGTGCG